ACATCCACGCATCGCGAGTACGCTGGGTACTCAAATAACCAACGCGTCCTGGATGTCCATGGCAGCGCCAATAATCTTGCGCCTGGCGACCTCCCTCTTCTCCGACACTGCGGACGCAGCCCCGTAAGGATTCTTGAAACGCTGGTCCATTAGACACCGTGCTATTCCTAGCTGCACCTTGGGGCACTTGAATACCCGGAGTTCATCGCTGTCACACTTCAGACTGCCGTTTCCACTCGAGGACGCTGCTGAGGTCGTCGACGGCGCCTTCACCGTTGCAACGCCGTCACGCTTCTTCGTCAGCGCAAATCACCGTGCCTTTTCGCCATAATGTCTGGGCGAGATCGGGTCTTGCTTCTTCGCGACCAGCATTTGTGACTCGAACAACATAATGTTGTCCATGAGGGTCACAAGCCAACGACAAAACAAACGCACGTCCAACATGTACGCCTTATTCGTTTCATGAGTCAACTGTCTTTCGATAGTCGCCTTCAATTGAGACGGACGGATGGCCGCCGTCAACATATTCACCGACTGCTTCGGCTCTTGTTCCAGCAAGTGCGCAACGTCTAGTTGCTCTAACTTCTCGTAGAAGTCGACTAGCAGTCGTCCCACACGAGACTCAGCGTCGCAAATCTTCGTGTCCAATTTCAACGCCGCCATCGCCTTTGTCACGGCGTCGAGGTCCAATTCCCGCTACTCTTGCGCAGACAGGGAATAGTCACGCCTGTTCTTCTCCGTGATGTCTTCGAACAACTTCCCGAAATCAAATGAGCAGACTCACCGCTAAATATTCTGATCGATGCACACTGCCAGCGGCATCATAAACAAGGCACCGCCCATGACGCTGCTCAGCACATCCACGCATCGCGAGTACGCTGGGTACTCAATCTTAAACTCGCAACCCTCGCGATGCGTGCTTTCCTTGTATGGGGGTGCCAACGGCACTTGCTGCACGCCCAACAGGTTCTCCAGCCGAGGCACTGCGGCTACTCGGCTCGACGTGAATGCCGAACGCTGTTTCGTCGCTTAGACAAATAGACCCTATTGTTTGCTGTCGCGGTGACTAATTGACTCAGTTCTTCTACGTTGTAGTGTTGCTGATGCATCGCATCCGATCATTGTTGGAGCATAAAGTGGAGTGCTTCAGAGACTCTGGCTTGCTCAGCCATCGCTCGGTTAAACTCATCTTGCTTCCGCACCAACTCCTCTTGTTGTTGCACGAGACACCCGTGCGACGCCTCTTGTTCTCCATTGTCGCAGCCAACGACATCTGTCTAGAGGACTCATCTTCCAGCCGTTTAGCCATGACTTCTTGCTGCGCATGAAACAGCACCAGCTGCTCTTAAGTCATTTGATTGAACTGACTTGACGTTGCAGCCGCACGCTCCACGCCCTACAACCGTAGCTATTTATCTCAGACTGGTTCGGCAGAGGTCAACTCTTTGTCCCTCTCGACGAAGTTGACGACACCGCGTATGTGGAGACAGGAAGCTGCCGGATGCACGGATGTTTGGAAGACCGAAAGTGGTGGAATTGTGAAGTTTTCAGTGGGGGAAACACATCCGTCATTGATTCTAACTGACCTATGAGATCACGTCATCTTAACGATGTGATCTCATAGCAGCGGATCAATCATGCACAAAAAACCTCTTTCTGTGTCAGTATCATGGCGAGTCCCGGGGACATGGCAGTGGTGTTGTTCTCGGCGAAACTGGGTGATCTGATATTGTTCAATGGCGGCGCAACTGGCGGCACAACTGGATTTTGAATACGTTGTCTTGAATTGTTCCACTGTATGGGTGTAATTCGATGCAAAACCAACAGACAGTACCACGTCGGCAGTTATGTTGGATCACCTGGACACGTGTGACGTGAGTGAACACGTCGCTCTCTCTCTCCTTGCTGTTAATTTCGATAGGGGCGGCAAGCTCTGCGGCCAGCTCGGTCTCGTCCCCTTTCACTCCTCTGTGTCGTCGGGTTGTTGGCGATACTGCTGCGGATCGCATGTTTTGAGTCAGGTGTAAAGCGACATAATTTTCAAGTCATAGTTCTGCAGGAGCATAAGTAAATCAAGTCATTTTGGGCAAACAACATTGAACATTTTCAACATCATTTGATCGTGTCAAAGACTGAATATATGGGATGCTTTACATGCATATCTTTTGTAATGTTTTTCTCCTTTCATCAATCCATTGCACGTTGGACAGGGGCGCCCGCATCATGCAATTCCCGCCATCCGGTTGAAACACGACATGGATTCCAAGTCCCTGAATGTATGACTCTATTTAGGTCTTGTTGCGTCAAAGTACTTCGAAGTATTCCATCTTGTGGTCTATTTTCAAGGATGTTCCAAAATACAACATATCGATCCAGTACGAACAAAGTATGGGGAGTGCGTCGCGTCACGGGTTCAACGATGAAAGGGACAGGCAGAGCACGGCCGGCCCTGGCTCTGACCCCCCCACGCGGCTTTTCCTTTCGACGCATAGTTGGTGACCACAATGAGCCGCACAGCCGCGCCGTGCCCGTACGGATCCTTGAATGCATCCCGCATCGTCGTGACGGGGCCGCTTTGCCAAAGCGATGCGAACGCCACGTGTGTCGTTGACACCAAGTGCAAGGTTCTTGAACGCGACATCTCGGGAAACGATGCGAACGGCAACATCACCCTGACGGTGATCAATGGCTACATGACTGGCTGGGATTCGGTCGATGCGTTGGGAGACCTGTCGAACTTGCCCACCATCGGCTTGTACGTCTGCGCCGCGTCGTCGATCGCTAATCGTTTTGGTAGCTCGGCGGCCAACTTCACCTCGCTCAACCTTGACGCTCTCGTGTTCAGCAAAGACATGGAGTTCTTGTACGTGGGCAAGATCGTTGTCGCTGGTTTGGTCACCGCGAGTTTCGCCATAGCTCGATCGACAATGCGTCGGTCCCTGTCATTCCCCGCACGCTGGTGTACCCTGGACGATTGGCGCACTTGTACACGCCGTCTTCTGCTCGTGGTCGCGCCGTCGTCGTTACCCGTTAACTTCTATAGGAACCTCATCGAAACCAACACGGCCAACATCCCCGACAAGTTCCCTGAGCGATGCTTCGACTTGTACGCTTCCATCACGTCCACATGACCTTCTGACCTCTGTCTCGCGTCGTAGCGGCTTCTTGTACCAGCCATTGAACACGTCGACGCTGGTCAACATCCCGCCATCCGTCCAATTCTTGTACGCACTACCCCCCGTCGTCCCAAAGGCGCTCACATTGGTATCCCAGGGACTTGCACGGCAACGGGATCACCAACTTGACGCACCTGAAGCTCGACTGGACCAACAAGACCCACGTGTACGTCGAGCCGCCGATGGTGGCCGCCATCATGGACTCGCCTAGGTTTTTGCACAAGAACAAGATCCAAGCCATTTCGAACGTCACGTTCAAGAAAGGCAAGCTCAAAGCTTTGTGAGTGCCTACCGTCCTTCGACGCGACTCATGTGAGCGCGTGTAGCTACCTATCCAACGCCAACATTTCGCACTTTGAACTCGACCCGGACTCGTTTGAAGCTATCAACGTGCTTAGCCCGGCGCAAAAGGTCGCCCAGGCAATGTTTGAGAGCCAAGAGTACGGGTTCAAGCTGGACAAGTACAACATCACGCAAGATGTGGACAAGTGCACGGCGGCCAACGGCGTCGTCACGGAGCTGTGGGCCATGCACAGCGAAATCACCAAAGCGAAATACACAGTGTGCGTCGTCGCGCCTCCGACGACGGCGGTGCCCGCGCCGACCACCGCCGACTCGAGTACGTAGACGAACCCAGCAACAACCAGGGCAAGGAGCACGTGCCCCGACACCAAACATTTCGCGACTCGTGAATGCATGGCTGACTTCGTTCTCGTGATGGTCTGCGTAGACACGGGGTGGATTGTCGGCGTCGTGGTGGGAGTGCTCGTCGTCTTGGGTGCTGCTTTCTTTTTCATTCGTCGCCGCAACCGTAAACCCGACGACGACGCCGAGTTCGAGTACCATCGCGACGGTGGCAAAACCGCGGGCGGCACCACGGGCACCCGCTTCATCACAGACAACACAGCGACGGGCATCGACATGTCGGAGCTCACGTTGTACCGACTCAACCAACAAGACGTGATCCCTGAAAAGAAGCTTGCGTCGGGGGCGTATGCCGATGTGTTGTACGGAATGTATAAAGGGACCCCCGTGGCCATCAAGAAGCTCCTCAGCTCTCGTGTCGGGGTGAACGAAGTCCAGGGACTCATCGATGAAATCAAACTTCTCGCCAGGTACGCCATCCGTTCGTGCCCGTCGACTCCACTGCATGCTCGTCCATGTAGCTTTACGTCGCCGTACATAATCAAGCTGATCGGGTGCTGCTGGGACCAACCGTCCGACTTGGAGTGCGTCCTCGAGTACATGAACGCAGGCGACCTCCGCGACAACCTGACCGCGCGCACTTCGTTTGATTTCCCATGGAACGAAAAAACGCAAGTGATCGCTGCCGTCGTCGACGGCCTCGCGTACCTCCACTCGTTGCCGGTGATCCACCGCGACTTGAAGAGCCGCAACGTCCTCATGGACACGGTCAAGCCGGCCAAGTTGACCGACTTTGGCGTGTCCAAGGAAGACACACAAGAAACCATGACGGTTGGTGTTGGCACGTACCGGTGGATGGCGCCGGAGATTCTCCAGTTCAACCATTACTCGGTGGCGGCCGACATCTTTTCGTTCGGGATGGTGTTGTCCGAGCTCGACTCGCACAAGATCCCGTACGCAGACGTGACCAACCCAAAGAACGGCAAGCCTCTCGTGGACACGGCCATCATGAGCATGGTCATTGCGGGCACGATCAAGCCGACGTTTTCGGACGACATGCCCGAGTGGATCCGAGA